AGCCTGCAAGGAACCTTATATATGGTTTAATGGTTCTCATTTCTATTTGTTTGACATCATTGTCTTAGTGGGGTGCTCAAAACTGACAGTCCCAATATTAAGAATCTAGCTTAATGGTCAGTCATGGGCCATTTCAACATAAAGGCAACAGATATTACTACTTCAAATAACTTATACTTTTTGTTTCACTTGAAAAAAGATTCTTCAAGGACCTTTGTTTGGACATTTTCCCATATTTGACATAAAAGAGAATCTAAGTTGATAAAAAACTCATTTGACTTCTGTGACTCATAAATTTATAATGAATTTTCATCCTTGGCAGTTTGTGTCCTGTTTGGCACCAGAAAAGAAAAAGGCAAAATCCAGTTTCATCCAGAAGGATAGAAGAGAAGGTGAGAAAGACACCAAAATGAAGAGATACAGAGAGGACACAAGAGAAATAACGGAAAACAAAATAGAAAATAAAATTATCAATCAACAAATTTTAAGAACTTATGATAAGACAAAAGTCACACTTATTTAAGAAATAGAGATAGTATGGCTAATTGAGAGAGAGAGAGAGAGAGAGAGAGAGAGAGAGAGAGAGAGAGAGAGTGCTGTGACCCGAGTTCAAGTCTTTCCCTTGATGCATATTGGATGCACGTCCCTCGCTTAACCTGTCAGTGCTCTCGGGTGCCAAGGTGATATTTTTAAAATGTAAGTCTAACTATATCACCCCCTCCTTCCTCCCCCCTTCTCATGAAGCCTCAGTGGCTACCTATACAAAGTCCTCTGTTTGGTATTTAAAGGTCTTTGTGACCTGGCCCCTTTCTAAATTTCCAGTCTTCTTATACTTTCCTCACCTCTATGCCTCTATGATCCAGGCACATTGGGTTACTTGCAATTCCTCAAACATGACACTGTATCTGTTACCTCCAGGCTTTTGCATCGTGTAGCCTTGACCCCCCCCCCATATTCCTGGGATGCTCTGTCTCCTTACTTAGCCCTTTGACTTCCTTCAAGACTGATCAAAAACCACCCTCTGCAGGAGACCTTTCCCAGTCTCCTCAGCTTCTACTACTTATTTTCTCAGATTACCTTCTAATCTACTCTACATAGATCTTTAATACCTACTGTGATATGGCCCCTATGCAAATGTAATCTCCTTAAGGGCAGGGATTGGCTTGGCTTTGCTTGCTTTTGGATCCTTAGTTCCTAAAATCTTACAGTTTTATTCAATATTTCCTTGGACCAAATTCAATTGATTTTCAAACAGTAAGAGAAAATGGGCTCAAGCAAAATTCTTAAAAAAAAAAGTGGGAGTGGGGAGGGAAAGTGACACAAAAACAAAGAGAGAATGAGTAGAAAGGAAATGAGGAAGATTACCTAGTGAAAGCAGTCCATTTCTAGAGTTAACTATAATAGTATCATTCACTTCTATACAATTTTGAGATTTACAAACCCCCTGCTAACAATAACTGTGTGAGCTAGGCGGAACAAGTGTTATTATCCCTATTTTATACATGAGGAAAATGAGACTCACAGAAATTAAGTGAACCATAGGAAGCAGAGAAGCCCAGACACAAAGCCCCTTGAACAACATTCCATTTCATGAGATAATATCTGCACAAAGTTCTAATAAATTGCAAGCAATGATTTCCCCACAGAATATCAGCTGAAAATTAAATGAAAAGTTAACGAACAACGATGTCTGTATTTTGCTGACCTCATGGTACCTTAAAAAAAAAGGCCATTTTCCAAACAAGAAATGGAATCAGATTATATCTAGGTTGCAATTTTTTTTCATTGGTTCTGCCACAATTTTAAAATGTCACGTAAGAAATGGAGTAGGGGGAAGGGTTGGGGAAGTTAATAAATGTGGGAGGTGAGGGAAGAGTACAGAAAATTCACTTGGAACTTAGGTGCTTAGACTGATAAGGATATGTATAGAGAGGCAAAACTGATGCTTTAGTCACCAACCTATGAAATGCATCAGATACTGTCCTAGACTCTGAAGTTACATTTACCCAGAACAATTTACTCAAAGGCTGAAGGACTTAGGTAAATCAAATATTCCCTAGATTCATCTAGATACTTTAAGGTGGGGCTTTTTTTTTGCCCATGTTTCATACAAATTTCCAATTTATTCTCTTTATAAATGTAGACATGGTTTAAATATTATTTTAATTTCAAATATCTAAACAGAAGAATACATGTCTTTATATATATATATATATGTATATATTATGAGAATTTTATTTACATAAGAATTGTCAATAATTCATCTATTATAGCCACAGCCATTTATATAGCCTGGTGTGTGTGTATGTACCACAATGCATTCAGAAAGCAGAAAAGTGAGACACAGCTCTTGTTTCTTTTCCCTCTACAACTTAGCACTCCAAAATTGGTAAGGTAAAATACTGATTTTACATAAGAGCAAGAGGGAATGAAAGATTTAGTAGCTGAAAGTGACAAGTCAGCAGAACAATTCCAAGAAGTGCTTTTTTTTGTTATTTTCAGCATTGTCAGATGAGCAGATTGTAAAATCTAGATGGTAAGTCAACATTGCATATATTGAAATTTAATCCTATGCTTGCTGGTGTTGCCTGATATTTGTCTAGCTAAAACTTAAACATCTATTTTAACCCTGCTTCTGCCTGGGGTACCCCATCATTGTTAAAAGAGAAATTAGGAAGCCTGCCTTAACTGGAAGTAATTAGAAAACATCAGGGGTTAAAGAGAACTATAAGAGAAAATACTAGCACCTAAGGGACTTTCTCGCTTTTGCAATTAGATTTGGAAGAGCTTCAATAAAAGATGAGCTTTGTAGAGACACATTGGCAACTGTAGAATATTCACAGTTCTCTTGGTACACAGGGATCTCTAGGACCCCTAACCTATGAATCAAAATGGTTTCCTGAAATTTCTTATTCATTGGAGTTGAGGTGCACATTTAGATTCTGTACTTTTGTTTAATGTTGAAATGCAAAATAAATTCCCTAGTGTCTGATTAGAACTCTAAGGATTACATTGGATCTATTTATGATAGTAATTTCTTTAAAGAGTCAAGAAACATGGCAAAAAAAATTGTTTGTAGGAATAATATCTTAAGAATCTCAAAGATCAGAATGTTTTCCCTCAAAAATACAGCTTTTACATGTACACTCTCATGCTTTTCACAGAAGAAGTGAGGGTTTTTTTTAAAGTGTTGGGGGGAGAGAAGGAGGGAGAGAGAGAGAGAGAGAGAGAGAGAGAGAGAGAGAGAGAGAGAGAGAGAGAGAGAGAGAGAGAGAGAGAGAGAGAGAGAGAACTTAATGGAAAATGAAAGATTTGATGAACTTTTCAGATAATTTGGTGGTTTTTTTATGTAAATCTCTGTATGGTACAATCTTAAATATATCTTAGAAATGGAGAGAACACTGAATGTAGACTCACAGGACCTGAGTTCAGTCCTAGGTCTGCCCCTTACTGTGGGTTTTTGGACAAGTCAATTAACACCAATATGTCTGAATTTTTTCATCTCTAAAGTGGGATGGTTGGAATATATAACCTCTAAAGTGCTATCTAGACCTAGAACTGGGATCTTATGAATCTCTCATGGCACTGAGTATGTGCACTGGTACCTTGCTGAGAAGATATAGGCAACTACTTGGATTAATTCTCTGTGACTGTGGCTTTCGCTGAGATAGTTGGCCACTGAATACCAGAGGTGTTTGTTAACAAGCCATTCCCTTTCCATTTCCCATTCTCTTCCCTTTGGTCTTCCAGACCACAGCAAGGAGAATAGAGCTGTGATAGAGGCAATGAAAGAGGGAGATTTCTTCCCTTGTCCAAAGCAATTAGTGGAGGGTTACGGTAAAAAGCACATAGTGAGTTCCTTGTGATTATGTACCCTAGAATTCCTGTACCTTGAGTTCCTGGTGTCTTCTGCCTGTTTTCTTTTCTGAAAAAATGTCAGAAACTACAATTTCTGAGAAGGTACTTTATCTCAGAAGCTGGGCATTGACAGTATTCCTACAGAAGCACATCACAGAGATAAGAATGTATTCAGGTGCTAGAGGAGAGATACAAAAAGTAGACCTTCCCAGTTTGGGGGCTCATCTTGTGGATCACATCAAAATAGTTTAGGCACTGGCTTTAGAGAGGCAAAAGTTTGCTCAACAACATGCTTCTTGGAGGAGGAAGAGGATGGTTAATATGTCTTCTATAATCGGAGGACTGGAGTAACATCAAGGGGGAAGAAATAGAGGAGAATTGGATATGTTAATCTTCTTTGGTATTGCTATTCATAAGCCTCACTGAAATTTTTGCATTTTATGTATTTTCTGTGGGGGAAGAAATTTAAAAAACTGTCCCCAAACCAGTGCCCATATTGCAACTTAGTTCCTGCGTAGCATTTGAGGTACATTGCTACTCGCATTTGGGCAAACATAGTGCTACAAAATGAGGATAGCATGTTATAAAATTTCTTAGAGATTTTCTTAGAGAACCTGATGTAGTAACAACAAAACAATGAGACTTAGTGTCACACTCCTGAAGTTGGATCTGGCTTTCATGGGCCCAGGATCTTTAAGGGATCCTATGTTACATATATTAAAAACTGTTAGTGTTCACTCACTTTCATTGTCCAGAGGGTTTCCCCCCCAAGGATAGAAGAATCAAAATAGGTAAACCATGGAGTTTCTGTGAGTTCTTGTTCTATACTGAAGAAATTTTATTGGGAATGACACTCCAAGACTCATAGTTATGTAATATCTCTCAAGGAAATTTTGGAATGCTTTAAAAAAGTTTTAATTATGTTCAGTATGGTTTAGCATTTAATACATTTTATTGCATTATAATTATCTCAAAACTCATAACCAGAATATCCAATTCTCTATGTAGAAAACAAAAAAAAATTACTGTAATAATAGATCCATTAATTAGTATGATTTGTGACAATGATTTCAAACAATGTTAATAAAATAACTTACCATACCTCTGAGTTGTTTTTATTTCTAGCTCCATATATTACTTACTCTGAGAGGTTTGAGTGTCTATGAATTTCTTTATCAGGGCATCAGTAGTTTGGGTGTAAAGACTGAGAGCATATCTAAGAGACTGAAGATCAGGGCTCTTCTCCAAAAAGTGCTTTTTCAGACCATTTCCTCCAGCATGAAAGTATTGCTATTAACAAAAAAAAAAGAAGAAAGAAAATAAACATAAACATACCCACAAAGAAATTAGGATTAGAAAGAAAACATATTCACACTTCTGATGTGAAAGTTAAATTGTAATTAAAAAATATAGGATACTAAATAGGATCACAGATTCAGAGCTAGAGGGAACCCTCAGAGATCATCTATTCTGACCCTTTTATTGATAAGGAAACTGACAAGGCCCTTTGCAGTTATGTTACTTGCTTATAGTTACACAGCCAGCAGTTGGTCAAATCTGTCTTTTACATTCAAACCTAGTGCCTTTTCCACTATAGAAGGCTACCTCTTGGAACACAGATTTATAGTGTTATAAACCATGTGATAGAATTCAATTCAGTTAACATAGATTAAGTGCTATCATGGGGGGAGGAGGAGGGGAAGGAGAAGAGGAGGAGGAAGAGGAGGGGGAGAGAGAGGAGGAATAATTTCACTTATTGGTTTACCTAATATTAATTGAATGCCTACCCTAAACAACTTAAAATCATCATCACATAAATGGAACCCATCAGAACTTAAGAGGATCCTGGGCTCTAGACTATCTTATGATTAGGAGCTGAAGTCTAAAGTCTCTTTCTTCTCATCCTTACATTTTATTATGCAAATGATGCCAAGATGATTTTGTGATCATAAACAATAAGACGTTGAAATAAAAATCTGCTAATCCCTTTTTGGTTTTGGAAGGTACAACTGTTACCATGGGAAGACATTGTCATGAAACTATCATTCACACTCATGTAGGCTCTGGGCACCTCTAGACACATTTCACAAAACATGACCAAGAAAAGCGCAGAAAAAAGCCTTATTCATTTATGTCATTTAAGGCAAAATCTAATTAACAGCTTTTCCTCCCTGCTTTCTTTGTGTTGGCATACATATTTTGTAGGTCAGTAGGACATAGGTTATACCCTACGTTGATTGGGCTCATCAGCTCTGAACTTGCCCTGGTTCTTCATGACTCATGCCATTTCCTTACTCATTAAATCAGAAACTCCCCTCAGTGCTCCCTGAATCACTGTTTCTCTACTCTTTTGCATTCTCCAATGACTTAGTGCAGTCTTATTTTTTCCAGGCTTGCTCAGTCACACTTTCTTCATACACAAAATGTTTTCTCTCATTTCTCTCCAGCTAGCATCTACTAGCTCTCTATTCATTCACCCACATTCTCTCCTTCTGTGCTAGCCTCTCAAACTTTATTGACTCAAACATTCACTCTGAAGACCTTTTCTAACACCCTTAAATAAGCCTGGGGAATTGAGGGCAGCTGTGCATGTCTCAGCCTCAAGAACACAGCTATTTCTCCTTTTCTGTTTTCCAGAGCATCCTCTATGTGAGATAATTATAAAGGAGGTGACCTTTCCTTTCCTTAGGACTGGGCAATCTCTAAAAACTACATATGGAATCTAGTCCCATGACTCTAAGTCATCACTTGGAGTTCTCATAATTGACAACAGAGACCACAACAGCTCTCTCCACCATCATCTCTAAAGATAAAGATTATATCATAGACCATTAGGAAAAATGCTTAAGTGCTTGTAGCATAGTTTTAGTGTCCTGTTATGTCTGGCACAGGTCCACCCAAGGGGAAATGGAAGAACTTAAATGGTGTTTTCTGCGATGCCATTGTGGCCCTATTTGCCCAGTCTTTTGATGTATGATTTGCCTCAGGTAGTGATGGTAAGAAAGTCTTCCCAGGGACATACGTAACACATTGCAACACAGACTCAGATAGTGAAATCTAACCTCCCCAATGCTGCACTTTGTTGTTTTCCACTCATTTCAGTTTTGCCCAACTCTTTGTGATTCTATTTGAGATTTTCTTAGGAAGGATACTGGAGAGATTTGCCATTTCCTTCTCCAGCTCATTTTACAGATGAGGAAACTGAGGCAAACAAGGTTAAGTGACTGCCCAGGGTCACACAGCTAGTAAGAGTCTGAGATGAGATTTGAACTCATAAAGATGAATCTTCCTGACTCCAGGTCAAACACTCTATCCACTGCACCACCTGGCTGCTGCAGGTAAGTGGATACCTCTTGGTAAAGTAGACAAAAACAAAGCAAGGTCTGGAGGATATTTTCAAAAAGTCTACTGTGGTCTCAATGAGTAAGTAGTCTCTGCACATACTAGTTACATTTTACATGCTGTCTCTAATGAATAATTTTGGCTCAAGAGGAGAAACTTCTTTTTCAGAAGTGGGGTACTCTGGGCAAGAAACATTCCATATAATTTTAATCAATAAGCATTTATTAAACTCTGATTATATGTTGAGCACTTTGTTAAGTTCTGGGATTACAAAGAAAAAGTGAAAGTTGTCTCCGCCTCTGAGTAGTTTACATTATAATGTAATAGACTTTTTTTTTGATGTTTTTCTTGCTTTGTTTTCATTCTTTCTTATAAGGAATGACTCTCTTGGACAGAAAGGGAAGGAATATATTGGAAAATATAGGTGATATAAAACCAAAAGATATCAATAAAGAACATTTTAAAAATATACAATGGCATCAATTTGGGAGGCAGTACTTCTAAATAAATGCCATAGAAGCGAAAGATTTCTCTGTTATCACACAAGCTTAGACTGGATCAATGGAAGAATGGAAAAACAATTAGAATGAGCCTGATCTTTCCCTATATAAGGAGTAGGTGGACTGTCAGGCTCACAAGGGTGGACAGTATTCCTCTGTTTATGTTTAATACCTTAAAATAGGCCATGATCCAGAGGAGAAGCCCAGGGCACTCCAGAAGGGAGCATGCAGTGCTAAAGCTGCAATGCTTCCATTTGGCAGTCAGGCTTCAGTCAACTCTCCTGGGGAGAAATCTACATTCATTTAAAAGCAAGCTTTTCCCAGGCATAGAAGCCTATACAATATGAGGAAAAGAAGCTGTTGTAACTAACTAGCAGGCATAGTGCTGAATGGGGAAGGGGGAGTGGGAAGAGGTTGGAAGTGATTGCTCTTATTCTTAAAGGGGAAACAAGTCAATTCTAAAATAAACAAATAAAAATGAAAACTCTGCCATTACATTTGGCATTTCTTAGAAGAAATTCAAAGCATTTTTATATTCATCAATCAGTCAAATATTTCTTTACTGCCTATCATGAGTATTACGTCATACTAGGCATTAAACATTCCAATAGGAGATAGTCTTTTCCCTTAAGAAGCAGCCATAGTCTGGTTGGAGAGATAGGACTGATAGACAATTAGAAAACAGTGAAGACTTCACTATGAAGCAGGTGATGCAGGCAATAGGAACTCAGAGAAGGCAAGAGGTAAGTATAAGCTGGAGCAGGAGGTCATGGATGGGATTTATGGAGAAGAATGTAAATCTTGAGCTGTGCCCTGAATGTAAATGTTATCTTGTCATTTAATTATAACACAGATGCAGTTGGTGCAAGGGATAGAATGCAGGGCCTGAAATCAGGAAGACTCATCTTTCTGAGTTCAAATCAGACATTTACTAGCTGTGTGACCTTGGGAAGGTCATTTCACCCTGTTTGTCTCATTTTCCTCTTCTGTAAAATGAGCTGGAGGAGGAAATGGCAAACCACTCTAGTATCTTTGCCAAGAAAACCCCAAATGGGTCAAAAAGAGTTGGACACAACTGGACAACAGATAAAAGATAGGTACAGTTATTATATATAGTTTACAGAAAAGCTCACACTTTGGCAGGAGCCTGGAATTGGTGGGGCTAATAACAATAATTATTATGAATATTATCATTAAATTGTGTTCACTTATTCATTTTTTTAATTAATTGTTAAGATTCTACTTTTAAATAACCTACAGAAAATGGAGAGGAGAAAAGTCAGTAAGTGACAGGAGATAGCTATTAAGCATCATAAGAAATAATGACAGAAGTCTAAAAATTAAGCAAGATGGTTAGTTTGTATTAGAGTACGGCATAAAGCTTTCTCTTGAGTTTGAGATAACATTGTGCCTGGCACCTAGGACAGGCTTAATCTGTGCTTGTTGATTTAATGGCAAAGTAATTTGCTCCTTTCAAGCAGTCAAAACATTTGACTGATTTTCACTAGCATAACATTCTGAAGGCCTCTTTTTGGCAACTTAATAAATAATAGGAGACTTGTAAGAACAGGAATGACTTCTCTTTCTTAAGACAGAAACCCAGAGTGCAATAGGTGTCCAGAGGAAGAACAAGTTCTAAGATATATAAACTAAATAAGGTACACTCTAGTCATACAAACAAAAACTCAATACAATTCTAAAATATAGAAGCTTAATATAATGTGAAAATAGCACCCCCCCACACCATCCCAATTCAATTATCTCACTATTACAGACAGAGAAAATTCAGGAAATTGTCTTATCTCGTTGATAGACTGCCAATAAGAAAGCCAGTTTTAATACCTTCATTACAAGGTTAGGCAGTAGTTACTTGTAGACTTTCTCCCTGCAGTGTGAAGCCAAGAGCCCCACTGAGTTTTGCAGATGCTTTGGCTACCTTGGAGGCATAGTAAGAGAGAAGAAATCACCAAATGGCATGTGTCATTTCTGGCTAATTCAGATAGTCATTTCAGCTTTTTAGTTTGGCTACTCATTTTAGCTTTTTGATAAGAGATTACCTTCATTAGTAACCATACCAAGTCATTTAAACTTCCAGCCTCAGTTGCCTTATCTGTAAAATGGAAATAATAATAGCACCTACCTCACAGGTTGCTTAGAAGGATATAATATGATAATACACACAAAGTACTTTGCAAATCTAAAGTACTATAGAAATGCTTGGTCTTTGGCTATCTTCTCTATAGCTTTCACAATAATCTTTCTGTACTGGAGAAATTTTTCCCTGGGACATAGTTCTCTAGACTGGTGACTACCTCACCAGGGCCATTATTTCAGGGAAAAAAAGAAAAACAACAGCCAAGCTTCACTTCACTCCCCACTATCCATAGCCTCATCCCTGGGTATTTTCTCCATTCTTTTCCTTCCCAGTCCTAGAATCGTATGCTGTGATCAAATCAAATCAATTGTGTTCCTAGACAGGTTGTGTCAATTTACTTTCCTGTGGCTCTATTCACTAGCCCAATAAATTTCTGGATCAAAATGCTCCTTCTTGGCTACCATTCTCCCTTTTATCTTGCCTGCCTTTTGTAGAATGTAGTCGAGGCAGGGACTGTCTTCACCTTTGCATTTGTATACAGAGTGTTTGGCAAGTATTCAGCGCTCAATAAATGTTTTTTCTTCATTATTTTATTAATATTATTAATAGTAATATGCTTGTTATAAGCTTTTATACCACTGACCTACTATTTAATTTTATGTTGCCCCCTACAAATGTTTTTTCATGATTTTTTTAAACTGAATCTGTAATTTCTTTAGTATAGGGAGCTCTTAGTGAAGAAACTTCCTTTGCCAATGCAGATTGGTAAATGTTTTTGTGTTAGAGAGGCTCTGGGGGGAATGAGAGGCTAAATGACTGGTTCTTGATCACATAACTAGGATGAGTGGGACTTTAATCTAGGTCATGACTCTAGGGTCAATCTGCTGAGTCATGCGGCCTCATCATGCCAAAGAGATGATTTAGCTTGGTTGGGCCTTTTGCCAAGCTTTTGGCAAACTGCTTGTGATAAAATAATATTTCATATTTTTTATTCTCCTTGATAGTATTTTAATAAAAGTTGATATCCTAAACTAGTGCTGCCTTGAACTTCCACATCTCTCCACTTGTCTATGAGATTAAATGTTTGTTGACTAAGGGTGGTTTCTAAGCTCTTCTAGTACATTCATTCCAGCAATTGTTTTCAATCTGTTCAACTTCCTTAGGAAATGGTAATTTGTGTCAATGTCTAGTAGTGGTTGTGGTATCAAGGGACTTGACTGATACCCATCATTGATGCTCCTTATGTGATTCTCAAGAAATCATTCAACTTCCTTGGCCCAAGTGACCTTATCTAGAATAACGTTATTCTCTGAGGTCTTTTCTGGATCTAGATGTATAATTCTATGAAATAATATTGTCCACACTTTCATTTTCCTTCACATTTCTGTTTGTAGGAATAAATATTGCTATGTTTGAAGGCTATTCATTTCTTGTTTATATACTTCCTAAAACCTAACCTAAAAAAGTTTGCTCTAAAGTAATTTCTTAACCGTGTGTTTCCTTGTGTTAGAAATTCTTTTCCCACCAGTGGAACATGGCTGTAGTCTTTGTTTATTGGAGATGCTGAGGCTGGTGGATTGCTTGAGCTCTGAAGCTGTGATTTGCGGTGGCCTAAAGTCAATGATTAGGTATATGCCCTAAGTCCAACACTCTTATGGTGAGGTCCTTGGAGCAAAGGTCCTCCACTACCTAATGAGAGGCACAGGTTATAAACTGAGAAGGTCAAAACTTTCTTATCAATTAGTGGTAGACTCTGGTCTATGAATAGCTGCTGTGTTTCCAGCCTGGGCAAGATAGGGAGTCCTGGTCTCAAAAAAAAAAAAGAAAAGAAAAGAAAAGAAAAAAGCTCCTCCTACCACAAAATGAGACTTTTAATTACTTATATTATACAGCTAAAATTGTAATTTGAGATATAGAATCTACGTGTTTCATGATATATTGCATTGCTGTCACCACATGTCACAAAGCTGTAACCTGTAACTTTGTTTTACGGTGTTCAACACTTAAGGACAAAAATCAGGCTCTTAGGTGTGCAAAGTACAAAACTGAGGCTACAAAGTGGCAGCTTTGTGAAAAAGTTCAATTGTTATGCAGGCTGATTGTTATTTTAATGCATACTGAATGGATGTCTGTTTCCACAAAGTGAGACTTATTTCTATCAGCTGGCAAATGGCTTGTAGAAACAGTGCTTTGCTAATCTGGTCATAAATCACGCACAATAGATGCCTTCACCAGGTAACAACAGACAAACTGGTGCACTGTGAAAATATAGGGAAAAGAAAAAAAATCTAATTTTTGAATAGAAGACTTTCCCCAAAGTGTGCTTGTATATGTGTATATGCAAATAGGGATATACACACATACGTATATGTGTGTGCATATATACATATCTGTACATATATAAAAGAGGCAGCCTTAGAGTCAAGAAGACTTGGGTTTGAGACTTGCTTTGTATATACTGGCTGTGTGACCCTGGGCAAATAACTTAACTTCTTAGGGCCTTAGGCAACTCTCTAAGACAAGGGTTCTTATCCTGGGGTCTGTGAACTTTAAAAAAAATGGTAATTGTAAACTGTATTTCAACATAATTTTTTGTAATCCTATGTTTTTTATTTATTTCACTCATTTGAAACATTCTTCTGAGGAGTCCTGAGGCATAGACTTCAACAGCCTGGCAAAGAGGTCCAAAAAATAAGCCCAGCTCTAAATTGCAGAACGGGTGCTTATCTCCATTAGCAGAGGATGTTTCTTCTCTACAGTGTCCTGTAACAATGAAATTATGGATCTGGACTGCCTTCTGACTACACACACACACACACACACACACACACACACACACACACACACACACATATGAGTAAACCTTCTTGTTTACTTTTTAATTAAAATTTTATGTTAACTTAATTTTTTCCTCAATTCTCTCAGGAGAGAATAAAAGGTAAAATTACAAGAAAACAAGTTGATACCTGAGATTTAGTTTTAAAAACAACAACAACAACAACTTCCTTCACCAAGTCCTATTCTGATGCTTTATCCTGGTGTGATGGCCCAAAGCTCTTGAAGGATTTGCCAGTGGAGAGTAAGCTCTGCCGGTTCCGCTCTGATGGAAGGGATTCAAAGTGCAACAGCAGACTTCACTTACTATTTGCTGACCAGTGTAGCTAAGTATGCAGAAACTTATCAGCAATTGGCCAGGCATTAGGTGACAAAAATCTTTGGCTAGGGCAATGCATAAAACACAATTTTTAAAGGCCTTCAGTCTAGTGGGGTCCCCTTCTGTTTCTGTAGAGGCCTCAATGGAATGGAAGAAAAGGAGGGGCAGAAGGTGCTCAGAAAATTCCTAAAATAGCTGTAAATCTTTTCTTGCTTTAAATCTCAGCAGTCCAAATGTGAAACCTTTATTCAACCAATAATGATTGGTAGGTCATTTGAAGGGCTGTTTCCTGTCATCTGTGGAGGCTTATCAAGAAATCTGGGAGAGGAGTACCAAAGGATGAAAAGGGATGGATGTGTTGCACTTTGCAGCCACAGAATAAGTACCAACATAGATGAGATTACATATCCATGGATATTCTGAAGTTAGAAGGAACAATTTCCATGAAAACCCTCCCCTCTTCCTAAGGCCCTTATTAATGTTTAGTAAAAGCACTATCATCCCCCCAGTCCCTCAGGCTCACATCTTAAGTGTCATCCTTGACTCCTGACTCTCTCCCTCCCCATCATTTCCAATTGGTTGCCAAGGTCTGTCGATTTTGCCTCTGTAACATCTCTCATATATGCCCCCGTCTTGCCTCTGACATTACCATTACCCTGGTGCTGGTCTTCATCACCTCACACCCAGACTGTTGCAATATCCTGCCTGCCATAGGCCTGTCCCCACTCCAGTTCATCCTCCACTCAGCTGTCAAGGTAATCTTCTTAAAGCATAGGACTGACCATGTCACCCTCCTACTCAATAAATTTCATTGCCTGCCCTCTAGCATCAAATATAAAATCCTCTGTTTGGGCATCAAAGCCCTTTGTAACCTCTCCTCATCCTCCTCCTCCTCCTCCTCCACTTTCCAGTTTTCTAACACCTTCCAATCCCCTCCCCATGTACTCTGTGATCCAGTAACATGACCTCCCTTCTGTTCTTCATATAAAATTCCATCTCCCAGCTCTGCATTTTCTCTGGCTCTCCTACATCCCTAGAATTCTCTCCCTCTTCATCTCTGCCTTCTGGTTTCTATGGCTTCCTTCAAGTTCCAATGAAAATCCTGCCTTCTACAGAAAGTTTTTCCTGTTTCTATTTAATGCTTGTGCCTTCCCTCTGTTGATTAGCTCCAATTTGTCCTACATATGGCTTTTTTATATGTAATTATTTCCCCATTAGACTGTGAGCTCTTCAAGAACAGAGATTATCTTTTGCCTTTCTCTCACCAGCCACGCAGTTATTGTTGTTCAGTTGTGTCCGACTTTTTGTGACCCCCATTTGGGGTTTTCTTGGCAGAGATACTGGAGTAGTTTGCCATTTCCTTCTCCAGTTCATTTTACAGATGAAGAAACAGAGGCAAAGTGGGTTGAGTGACTTGTCCAGGGTCAGACAGCTAGAAAGCATCTGAGGCCAGTTTTGAACTCAGAAAGTTGAGTCTTCTGACTTCAGGTCTGGCCCTCTATGTGCCACTTAGCTACAGGCACTTAATAAATGTTTATTGATTGACATTAGTGTATGTTTAACTCAGTCTCTGTACTAGGTACAATGAGAAAGGACATTTATGATACAGTGTTTTAGTGCTTTAATTACATTCGATATATTGTACTTACAGGGTCAGGGGAGTGGACTGATAATTTTGGGAAGATTTCCAGCATCCAAGGATGAAAACAAAAAGTTAACCAGATTACTTGATTAGCCAGAACATTCATTGCTCCAAATATTTTTGTTATGTATATGTTTTTATTCTTAATATGTAGACTTCACCCATATTTCATGCAGTGACATGAACGTTGAAGGACCAAGAGTGATAGGGGATGTGTGGAGAGGAGTAGAAGAGGGAAAATATTGTACTTTTAAGGAAATAATACTATGGAAATTCAGTTAGCTTCCCACAATATAGCTGCAGATACAATGTGTGTGTGTGTGTGTAGAAACAGAAAACTGTACCTTAATTGTGGCCAAGACTACTTCCATGACAGCACACTGTCTTAGGGTCAGACCCTTGGCTTCCTCTCGAATCATGTGATCCTGAAAAACAGGTTAACATTTTGCATTTCATTCATCTGGCAAATATTTTTCCTTCTCTTCATGTAGACAGCCACAACCTTAGTTCAAGCTAGCATTTACTCTCATCTGACCTATTGCAATAACCTTTTAACCCCTCTCCCTCCACAAGTCTCTCCGTCCTTGCCAGTCACCTGCCTAGGTCATTTTTCTAACATGTTGATCTGACCACATTACCCCCTTCCTCAATGAGCCTGAGTGACTCTCTTTTTCTTCTAGGATCTCTATTGAGTATTTAAAGCTCTTTATAATCTGGCCCCTTCTTAACTTCCTATTTTTTTTTTTACCTTTTTCTCCTCCATACATTCTGCTAACCAGCTACATTAGCCTGTTTGCAGTTCCTACAACTTATCACTCCATTTACTGTCCCTTTATCTTGTCACTAGCTATTTTCCATGTCTGAATGTTCTGCCCCATTGACTCCACCTCTTGGTTACTCCAGCTTCCTTAATAACTCAGTTCAAAGACTACCTTCTTTAGGAGGCCTTCCTGGTCTTCCTACTTTCTAGAGCCTTCCCCTATTGGATTACCTACCACCTACTCCGTATGCATCTTGTATGTTATTTATAAGTTCAATCACCACTTAAAAGTAAGCTTCTTTTTTTCTTTTTTTTTTTACTTTTTACTTTTTATTTATCAACAATCACTTCCATAAGCTTTTGAGTTTTAAATTTTTCTCCCCCTTCCTTCTTCCCTCCTCCCCAAAAAGGTGTGCAATCTGATATAGGCTATGCATATACATTCCTATTAAACATATTTTCACATTAGTCACATTGTAAGGAAGAATTAGAACCAATAGGAGGAACCACCAGAAAGAGGAAACAAAACAAAACAGAAAAAAAATTAGCAAATACTATGCTTCGATCTTCATTCATACTCCATAGTTCTTTCTTTGGATGTGGATAGCATTTTACATCATGAGACCTTTGGTGATATCTTAGATCCTTGCATTACTGAGAAGGGCTAAGTCTATCAACGTTAGTTATCACACAATGTGGTTGTTACTGTGTACGACTTTCTCTTGGTTCTGCTCACTTCACTTAGCGTCAGTCCATACGAGCCTTTCCAGGTTTTTCTGAAATCTGCCTGCTCATAATAAACGTAAGCTTCTTGATGGCAAGGGCTGTTATGAATGCTTGCATTTACACCTACAGACTTTATCATTGTGCAGGGCACATAATACATATTTGGTAAATGATTGATGACTAATTTAACAACTCTATTTTAAGGAAAGATGAATCTTAGTAATTGTGCAATTTATCATCTTGGATCCTTAGTTTCCTCATCTATGAAATGGAGGTAATAACACCAATGTTTCTGACCTAGGCCACTAGGTGGCTGTAGGATCAAATGTATACATTTGGAAACTGAAAACATGCACCAAGGATCTCTATTTTCATCTTCATGAGAACTCCAATGAAGATGATCCAAAAACTGTTGTAACTTAAGGTATTGGATCTTGTTGCTTGAAGTTCAGAGAGTGATTTGCCTATTCTTAAACATCCATTAAGTATAAGGTATGGTATGTGAACACAGGTCTTCCTGCCTGTAAGTCAAACTACTCGATTTACTTTGTTATGTTGCATCTATAAAACATATAACAGATTATTATTATTATTACACTTTCTTCATGTGCACAAGTGTTGATTGCAGATAATATTTCATCATATATTAATTATTAGATACTATTTGCTTAAAGTTTGTTTTTTTTAATAGAAAGTGGAGATTTAGTTTTACAAAGCAGTGCTTTTAAATATGTGTACTTATTTCGTTCACTGTACTTACTTTTATTTGTACTTATTTAATTTCAGTGCAGAAATAAAAGACAAAAAAATTTATCTTAAAAGTTCCTCTCACAAAAAAAGTTCTTTTGGCTAATTTTGGAGTAAATATGTTGTCATGTCAATGAAACTGAATTTTAATATCATAGGATTTAGACCTAGAAGGGACCTAGAGATCATCTAGTCTAAATTCTGCTTTTTACAGATAGGTTAGCTAAAACTTTTAATAAAGTCCTCATTTTATAAATGAGGAAACTAAGGCACAGAGAGATAAAAGTCCTTTGGAAAGGAGCTAAGGGGAAACTGATTTATGCCAGCCACCACAGCTAATAAGTATGGTATATAAACATGATTCTTCTTTATTCTCTTTTCTGAATTCCTCATCACAGTTAACTTTAATGAAAATTCCCAAAGGGTTAGCTGAATGTTGGACATACAATATAGAGATCAAAAACAAAAAGGAAGAAAGAAAAGAAAAAAGCAAAAAGCAGATGAATGAATGAGAACATAATAATGAAGAGAAACATTGTCTTTAAGGCTTATCATTTTGTGTCTCACAGATGAGAAGATAATATTTCAGAATGATCATTTAAGATGCATATAGTAAAAATATTTTCAATATACTTTCTTAACTCAGAGGTTGCAAACTCAAAGAAGGATAAAGTTTTGATCAGTTTCCTAAAATGGCAAGCAAATTGTATATTTAAGACATATTAAAAAGTTTGAGCCATATATCAGAATAATGACGAAAAGTTTTTTGGCTTAGATTAACCCAAGTTCATAAGTGAGTCAATCCCCCCTATATCAAGATACAGTGGATAGGGCACCAGCTTTGGAGCCAGGAAGACCTGTGTTTAAATCCTGCTTCTAACACATACTAATAAGCCTCTAAACAATTCTCTATGACTCTAAGTGACAGAAAATTCATTGATATGCTCTGGTACAAGGAGTGTTCTCATTCAGGAGTTCTCTATACCAACCAAAGAAATTTCACAGATCCAGTCCCTATCTCCGTCCCCTAATCCAAGTAGTTTTTGAGTTGATCCTCCTTCTTCCATCAAACTTCACTGAGTTTGGATTGTATCATTCATGCATTTTCCACAACTACTTATCAACAATTTACTTTGATGTTGTTGACCAGAACAGTGCTTGCTAAAAAACAAAAATTATTAAGTTTGATGTAGCAGAGTCTAAGAAGCTCTGAAGAAGAGGCTTGGAAGTGAGTTATTGGTCTAATAAAAACCCAACCCAAGAGGCTCATGTAGGTTGCTACTGCTGCCCTCCATATCTCTAGGCTGCTAGTAACTAACCTCATCTGCAAAGGAGATACAGCAATATCTCTTAAGAGACTTGCTTAGGGGATGTTATATAAAAAAAACCCTATCTTAACGTGAACAAAAACAACTCTAAAAGCCAAGAGCTTTCAGATTCAATGCAATGACTGATCTTGGTTCTAGAGGACATATAATGAAGCATACTTCCATCCTTTTCATGGAGAGGCTCTGGGGGTGACTATGTTGGTAAGTTTTGTTTAACTATTTGCCACTGTTATAAGAAAGGGCTGGGGGAAAGTACTGGGAAATGATTGTGTTATGAAAAAAGTCTAAAAAATAAATAAAGCCTTTTTTTTAAGATAGAGATTTGCTTCATTAGGATATATTTTAGTGCTGCAGTATCTATGGGACTAGGTTAAAAATTCTTCCTTAATATTATGTCCAAGTGTCTTCTGAAGAATGATTACTTTTCCTTATTATTCCATGATATATCCCTCAAAGTCTTTAATATGTCTTGAACTCATAATTTGCTTGCCTTTTAAGGAAAGTTGATCAAAATTTGTCCCTTCTTCTTTAGTTTGGAACTACTTAATTAAGAAAGTATATTAAAAATATTTTACTGTATGCATTTTAAATGGTGGTTATTTTAAAACATGAATCATCTTCTTATCTGTGAGATACAAAGTGATACAACTTAACAGCAAACAATCACTCCTCAATGTCCTTCTAAGAGTCAAATCTCATTGGCATCAAAGTTATGTTCATCAAAGAATTAATCAGAGAGAGCTTAATGTAAGTTTTTAGATTTTTTTTTGGCTACAATATTTGACACTATTGAATATTCCTCCTCAATTTCCTCTGTGGTACTGAATGTTGTCCTAAATAAACACTTATTCAATGCTTACTAAGTGTCAGGTACCATGCTAAGCACTGGGAATATAAATACAAACAAACAAACAAACCAGTCCAGTCCCTGCCCTTAAGGAGTTTACATTCTAATAGAGGAAAACAACATAGGTAGTGAAGAGGGGTGGTGGCCCCTGTGCACTGTGCCTCACCATACTGATGCTGAATTTAGTGCAGACGCCTGATCAGAGTAAATCCGCACTACTGTAGCTCAGAACTTCCAAATTCAGATCTGCCAGCCACAGCCTCCTTGCATTCTGAGATTACCAACATGCACTATCATGCCCAGATCTATTGGTTTGTTTTTTCCTTTCAAATCCCACTGTCAACCACTCCAATGCAGATCCTCATTACATCTCAACTAGACTATTGTAATGTTCACCTAACTAGTCCCCTTGCATAGAGTTTCACCGCTTTGCAATGCATCCTTCAGATAGCTGCCAGAATAACTTTCTTAATACACAAATGTGATCATGCCATCTCCTGATAAAATGCCGTAGCTCCCAAGTGATTAGCAAATACCATATAATTTGGTACTCAAGGTCCTCAGGATTCTGGTTCCATTTTCCAGTTTTATTGCATGTTATTCTCCTTCTAGATAATCCACTGTTATCCAGTCTCTTTGGCCCTTTCCACCTCTATCCCTTGATGCATACTATGTAGTATTCCCAGAGCTTAGCATAGTAATTAGTATATAGTAATACTTAATAATTATGTGTTGGCTGATTAACCTCTTTTAGAAGGGTCTTCCCCAGATCAGCTCCCACATCCTTTCTGAAGCCTTTCTTGAAACCTTTACCTATAAAATGCCTCTCTATTCTCAAATTCCCCACCCTGCTTGATTTGGACCTCTCTTATGCACTTACACTTTAACTTGTATTACGTGAGTATGTGTGTACAGGCTGTGTGCTTAAATATATTTGTCTCATTCTCCATACTAGATTCATTCAGCCAATCAGCAAGCATTTATTAAGTCCTTACTATATTCTGGGCACTATGTTTT